ACATCTAAGTGTTAGTAGCAATAAAAAAGGAGTTTTTCTGTATGAAACAGTATATTTTAAAATGAAATGGAGATCTTTTTCAAAGGTCAAAACCTCCTTCAATTTTATGTCTTATGGGGTTTATACTGAGTTAAATATTGTATAACTGTATTAATTCAACAGTGAACCTAAAAATTTTATAGACACTTTTGAAAGAGATGGATCTTTGCTCTGGAAACTGTTAAATGTGTCAATGCTGTTGTAATGAAATGTTTCTTCTAAAAAAAATAATAACAATAATAAAATATTAAAAAATGAAAAAAAATTCTATGTTGGCAAGTAAAGAAAATGTGTATGATATATGCAGCATAAACAATAATGACAAATTCACATAAACAAATATGTAACACAAAGCAGAATACCAACAGTACTGTGAAGTACAACTTCTTCCCCAATTTTATTTCCTTGTACCTTTTGCTGCAAACATTATCTTCAAATTGAGTCTATCATTTTATTATTACCTTTTGAAATTCTAAAGTTTTATATGACTGTATTCTTATATACTATACTAGCATTGTCAAAATGTAAGTTTGAGTTTTTATTTAAATATTTTACTGCTTCTTATTTTATGAGTGTATTGTCTGCATGTATGTAAGTGCACCCATGCCATGCAATGCTCGTGGAGGTCAGAAGAGGGTGTTGAACTTCCCTGGAACCAGAGTTACAGATGGTTGTTAGCTGCCATATGGATGCTGAGAATTGAACTCACCCCGCAAGAGTAGCCAATGCTCTTAACTGCTGAGTCATCACTCTAGCCCTTACTTTTGAGTTTTAAAAAGTATATGGCAATGTGTTAGTCTATGAGCTTATTTCATTTCTAATGCACCCATTATCTAAGTGAGTACATCAAATTTTACACACACACACACACACACACACACACATACACACACACATTATGGTTTGTTCTGCTAAGAATGCTCTTAGGTCATAAGTATAAGAATTCATCTTAGGGCATGTTCTTTTTATTTGTCACATTTTGATACCAGGTTATGCTATCTTCAAAAAGTGATTTAGGAAATATTTCCTCTTTTTCTATTTTAAAATCTATTTTAAAAGGTGAAACTACTTTTACTTCAAAAATTTAAAACTTTAGTAAAACTTATCCTGGTTTGAAAACATGGTTTCAAAATTCTTCAGTATTCTTAAGTTTAGATATGGGTGTATAAATACAGATCTATGACTGCTTAACTAACAGAATACAATAGGATTCACTGACTACGTAATGATGTGCAAGTTCCTAGGCCTGGGGCTACTGGCATTCTCCATCTATATCTGGTATGCTCATCTAGAAACCTAACCCTTGGATGGTCTGGAAATTTTGCTTGTTATTTTTTATGTTTTTAATTAATATTTTATTTTTTAACTTCCCAGACAGATTTTAATCTCTAGAACTTCAATTAGATAATCTACATTTTCTTTAGGGTATAGGTGAATGTATATTGTGACTGTAGAAGAGTAATAGAATAATGATGGAAAAGTCTCTTAGTGACTGGGAATGGGAAAGGTCCAATGTCAAGGCCTGGGTGCCCAGGACTACATGTGGAGTCAAGGCCATAGCTGGCTATCAAGGTATGTGGGAAGTCCATTCTTGAGAATCTTTCCAAGACTAGAATCTGCAAATGACAGAAACCTCCCTTGTCCCAAGTATAAGCCTAACAGAGGCAAGTCACTACTTTGTACAACCTGAGACCTCAGGGGAAGGGGTAGTGGGGACTGTGATCACTCAGAGAAGGCTGAAACTGCTGTCCAACATTGGGAAGTACTCCATTCTCCTATCTTCTTTACCATCGGTCTACCACCAGAGGAATGTGGAACTATAGCTCAGGGTTGGGGACCAAAGCTCTAGGCTCATAGAAGGGAACCACAGCACCAGCTCACATGAGGCAAATACAACTCTGGCTCACTGGAGGGGACCACAGCCCCAGCTCACAGGAGGGCCCTACAGCTCCAGGTTCACAGTTACATATCCTTTAGGCATTCTTGATATAGTCAGCTCTATTTTTGTTTAATTCAGTAATAATTACTCATTTTATTACTTCCTCCTACTTTCAAAATGTATTGTTTATTTTTGAAAGGTTAACAAGTACTATAACACCCTCTTTTCTTACTAAAAGACTTATGTTTATACATTTTTCATCTTTTGTTTTTATTTGCAAAATTATTTCATTATGTTTGCTGAATTTAGGCAAAATAGCCTTGTAAAGTAAGCATGTTAATTGTATTGTTCTAATTTCATGTATCTTACTCAGTTTTCTATTTTACCAGTGAGAGAAATGCTGAAATAATTAACAGTGGATCTTTCCATTTTTTTCTTGTTGTGAAATACTACATTAAATATTTTAAAGCCATTTTTAATAGCTATGTTTTACTTCGGTATGTTTATTTAAGTTTATTTTTCCTTATATTTTATAGCTTTCTTTGTTGTATATCTGCTGCGTGTATAATATTCTATTCTTTTATATCTATTCTTCTAGTATGCTA